CTAAAAGGGTAAAGAGGGGGAGGGGGGGGGCGCAACATTTAATAATGTATGTATGTATTAACAACTTGAAAAGGCCAACAAGGCCCGGACAAAGCTCCTTTTAAACCCTTTTCGAGTCAGATCGGGTCGCTTAGGCGGGCGCCTCTGTTGGCGCGTGGCAGCCCTCCACGTTCTCGGGCCAATCGCAGACATTCTCCTGTGGATTGAAGACCAGATTGGCCGGACACGGCATGTGATGCTTGCGCTCTCCCTCGCACATATAGTAATGCGTGCAGTCGGCCCAATCCTTGTGGTAGCTAATATGCCCGTCCTCCTCCGCGCAGGTCACATCATGCGCTGCACATGAGAAGAGTTTGCTTAGTCAGAGTAACTATCGATTAGTATCCGCTTTAAGACTTACGATCCTTTGTTGTGTATGCGCCGCGTGGACCATGCGACTCGTAGGGTCCATCGTATTCCAGCTCAACCTTGTAGTCCTTCAGCTCATCGGTTAAGGCATTCAGCAAAGGATATTTGCCGTTGCCGCAGCGTCCGGAGAAGTCATCCATATCAATCGACCAGACCATGATGCCGCCAAAGCCCTGCTCCTTCAGCCACTCCGTCTAAAAAAGCAGAGAATATAGTTGTAAATATTAATATAAGTATCATTTTACTTGCAAGTTTAATTCACTAAAACAATTCAACAACTTAACGAAAGAGGAGTCAAAATGGCAACACTCAATTGAACTACTGAGCGAATACAGGCATGAAATGAACTACTTAACGATAAAGCAACTCAAATGAACGACTCAGCAATTTGAAATATGAAAAACTGAACGAATGACATTTGAATTAACGATCAACTGGAACGTTGCTCAGAAGGGAATCAAATGAACGACATAACTAATGAATGACTGAACGACTAAACGATAATTTGGGTTACATATGAACGACTGAACGAATTGAAACTCAAATTGGCGCTTGAATTAAAGAGCAACTGGAACTTTGTTGCGACTCATCAATTTGAACGACTCATCAATTTGAACGACTGAACGATTAATTACTCAAAATGGCACTTGAGTTAACGCTAAACTGGAACTTCTTTCAGTTTGAAGATTAGTTCAATTGAACGACTCAATAAAATAAATTCTAAGCTTAAAGATTAGCTACTGCCAGAACTTACCTTGGTTTTCAGTGAACGTTCGTCATCGAAGCCCACCCATTGGTTGCCTCGGTAGGCGAAGGGCACCTGCTGCTCGGAGTCCCACACCAGAGTTGTATTGTCAGCTGCCAGGAAGGAGCAGACCTCATAGTAGCTAAGGAAGCCCGCCTCGCTGGTGAACTTGCCGGCCTTGCCGCCGCCCGACGAGGGTGAACCGATATCGAATTGTGTCTCGTTGACCAGCTCAAAGCTGCGTCCATATGTGGGCATACCGATGAGCAGCTTCTCCTTGGGCGCACCCTGTTTCACCCACTCGCGTGCGCTGTAATCGACAGTCAGTTTCTTTTGGTAGCCGGTGGCCGACTCCAAAGCAAACAGCGGCGAATTGTGGCCCACTGTGCGCTCCCACTGGCCATGGAAATCGTAGGTCATCACATTGATAAAGTCCAGATATTTGGAGATCTCCGGCACATCGTAGCCGGCGGCGATGGCCTCAAAGGAGGCGGGCACGGCAGCAGTTAGCAGTAGGCGTGGCAGGCCCGAAGATTTGGCCTCACCCTCGAAGGCAACACGCAGCTCGCGCAATAGATTTACGTAGGCGACACGATCCTCGGCGCCGCGCGGATACTCCCAGTCGACATCAAGGCCGTTGAATTTGTAATCCCTCAAAAAGTCAATAGCTTCGTAGACGAACTGGTTCATGCGGAAGACGTTCGAGGTGAGCTCCTTGAAGGGCGTCGAGCCAAAGGCCCAGCCGCCAATGGCCAGCAGAATTTGCAGATCCGGATTTGTATCGCGCAGGGCAATAACGCTCTCATAGTTCTCGGGATCATCATCGGTGGCCTCCGTCAGCTTGTAGTCCTGCAGCGTGGCAAAGGCATAGACAATGTGTGTGCAGAGCTTGGGATCAATGTTGTCCGGCTCGAATTTGCCAGCGCCGGGACGCTTGGCAGACCAGCTGGTCAAGTAACAGAAGACCTGAGCGGGACGTGCTGCAAGTAACCAAAGATTATTTAGATGCTAAATGCGAAGCGTAGTCCATTGTTGACTTACTGTTCTGGTTGATGGCATTCGCACCCGACTTGATGCGTTGTTTCTTCTGCGTCTGCGGCTTGCGCACCTTCTTGAGAACCTCATCCACCGAAATCTTGATGGGTTCCGGTTTCTGTAAGTCAAAATAGATGAGATTAAACTAGGTATGGAACATACAGAAAAAGTACTTAGGCAACTTCATCATTTCATAAGAATTTAAATTGAATTAGTTTTCATTCAAAAAATGTGAAAAGAACCAATGTGGAAAACAAAGCTCAAGATCGTTTACATTGGTTCAAATCGTGAACTGGTTCAACTACAAATTGAATTAGTTGTCATTCAAAAAATGTGATAAGAACCAATCTAAAGAACTAAGTTGCTCGTTGCAATTGGTTCAAATCGTGAACTGGTTCATCAACAAATATTTAGTACGCTTACAGCTGGGCTTACCTCTTCTTCGATGTCCTCGAATGTGGCTGCAATGGCTGTCCAGTTGACGTCCTTGGCCTCCTTGCCGCGCGATATGCCCAGCAGCTCCTCGCGCATGGCGCCAATCAATGGATACTTGACATTGCCGCCGCACACCTCGCCCTTGAAGTCGTCCATGTCTATGGTCCAGACCATGGCGCCGCCAAAGCCATTCGTTTTGATCCATTGCATTTTATTTCTAATGGCGCGCTCATCATCGAAGCCGACCCACTGATCACCGTCGACCAAGTAGGGCACCTTCATCTCCTCGTCCCAGACATAGACGGCGCCGTTGAGCAGCATCTCGCAGATCTCGTAGTAGGCCAGGAAACCGCTCTCCTTGGTGTAGACGCCCTCGCGACCACCGCCCGTGGCGGGCGCATTCGGTCCATGCTTATCCGTGCTGGCCAGCGTAAAGGAGCGTCCATATGTGGGCATGCCAATGATCAGCTTTTCCTTGGGTGCGCCCATTTTGACCCACAGATTGGCGGCATTATCCACCGACAGCTGCTTGCGCCACTCCGAGTCCGACGAAGGGGCATAGCTGCAAACAAAGAGAGCTTAGTTAGAGACTAGAAGCTGGTATAATTATTCCCTGATGGAAAGGAGTTACTCGACATTAGTTTCCCAGCTTTACGGTTTGGGCTGTATGTTGATGAGTCAGTCAGTCAATCAGTCAGTCAGTCAATCAATTAGTTAGTCAGTTAGTCAGTCAGTCAGTCAGTCAATCAGTCAGTCAGTCAGCCAGTCATTCAATCAATCATTCAGTCAGTCAGTCAGTAAGTCAGTCATTCAATCAGTCAATCAGTCAGTCATTCAATGAGTCAGTCAGTCATTCAATCAGTCAGAAAGTCAGTCAGTAAGTCAGTCAGTCAGTCATTCAATCAGTCTGTCAGTCAGTCAGTCAATCAATCAAGGCATTGACCCATCTTGGAGCTGGAGACATCAAATTCGGGTACTTACAGTGGTGCATTGTGTCCCGTTTCGCGTTCCCATTTGCCGTGGAAATCGTAGGCCATCAGATTGATAAAGTCCAGATAGCTGGCAATGGCGGGCACATCGTAGCCGCCGCGCACATTGTCCGGACCGACGGGCACAGCCGCGGAGAGCAGGAGACGCGGCTGCTTCAGCTCCTGGGCCTCAGCATCGAATGCCTCGCGCAGCTCCTTCAGCAACAGCACAAAGTTCTTCTTGTCATCGGTGCCCTTGGGGTATTCCCAATCCATGTCCAGGCCATCGAAGCCACGCTTACGCAGAAAGGGAATAGCCGAATAGACAAACGTTTGGCGCGTGTACCGTGTGGCCGACATGTCCTTGAACTTCTGTGTGCCAAAGGACCAGCCACCAATTGCGAGCAAAATCTGTGAAATAATTCAATAATAATAAGATAAATAAACATATAAAAAAACGGGAAATTACTGTGGGAATTGAACCAGCCACCTCTCCCTTGCTGATTCAACGTCAGCTTCCCAGCTTTTACGGTGTGGGCCGTATGTTGATGAGTCAGATGGTCATTCAGTAAGTCAATCAGTCAGTCAGTCAGTCATTCAATCAGTCAGTCAGTCAGTTGGTGTGTCGGTCTATCATTCAGTCAGACAGTCATTCAATAGGTCAGTCAGTCATTCAGTCAGTAAGTCAGTCAGTCAGTCATTCAGTTAATCAGTCAATCAGTCAGTCAATCAATCAATCAGTCAGTCAATCAATCAGTCAGTCAGTCAAGCAATCAGTTAATCAAATAGTCAGTCTATCAGTCATTCAATCAGTCAGTCAGTCTATCAGTCAGTCAATCTGTCAGTCAGTCATTCAATCAGTCATTCAATCAGTCAACCAATCAAGGCAAACTAGTTTATCTATGTAGACTAGATACAGACTAGTACACTTACCTTCAGTTTGGGATTGGCCTTGCGCAGGCTCATCATGCGCTCGTACAGACCAGGCACATTATCCTTGGTCTCATCGTTCGATTCATAGGAGCTCAGCTTGCCCTTCTTCAGCCAGCCGAAGGCAAAGATAATGTGCGTGCACAGATCGGCGGGTATATCCTCTGGCACAAACTTGCCAATTTTCACACGATATTGCGACCAGTTCGTATAGTAGCAGACGATCTTTGGCGTTCCATCGTCCACCTTTGTCTTCTTGCCCTTCAGCGATGAGCCGCTGGCCACGAGCGCGGTGCCGCCGGCAGCCGCTGCTGCTGCTGCAGCTGCTCCACCGCGCAGCTTGGACTTGGAGCGCAGACGCGTTCTGGTCACGCGTGTGGTCGAGGCGGGCTCCTGATCGATGCGCTTCTCAGCGACGGGCGCTACCGTTGACTTCTTGGAGGCCAACAAATTGCTGCGCGAGGAGCTGCTCACCGTCGTGGGACGTCGCAGACGCCGGCGCGTCTTGGCTGCAAATGAAAATTGATTAATGATTTAATATATATTTTATTAATTTTTTTATTTGTTTCCTAGGCTTTTTTTACTATATGAATTTTCTGAAATTTTACAAGAGTATTTTAAAGATACAGCTTTAATTCGTATGTCGTTCAGCACTGACCCAAAAAGCTATCAAATGACAGCTGAACATCATTTGCCTCTCAACACACTCGAACATCAATCATCATCAATCATTGACTATCGATTATAGCTCTTGCAACGTCGATCACAAGCACTCGATGGCATTTATCAAGTGGCTATTATTTTTTAAAATAAGTCTTGAGCTGTCAGACAAATTAACTTTGATTATATTCCAGTCCATTTGACAATGTCTGTCTATTTAAAGTTTTCTTGTTTTAATGAAGATGCATGATAATTTGTTTACATTAATGATACTGGCTGTACGTAAATACTTGGGCAATTAAAGTGTGGCTGTTTAATACCTGTTTTTCGTGAAATTAAAAATGATTTTAAATTGTCGCCAGCTGAAATAACAATGCAAAATTATGGCGAATGTTGCACGTCAGAGCGTCAGTCAGCTAAAGCGTGCAATACGCGACATTTCTGCTTATAACCGGTCCAAATAAATATTTCATCTAGCAGCGGGCCTCTCACTGCGCAAGCCCACACAGCAAAACAAGACAAAACAAAGACGAAGTGTTCCATTTATGGACTTCGGCTATACGAATAAGCGCATGCAAGTGTTTCAGCTTTTGCTGGGGGGTTGCCTTGTGCTTATTTTTAAATTGCGTTGTGGCTCGCAGTTCTAGTGCCAGCTAAGTCGACGGTCTTGTATCTGGGGATATAGCTCAGTGGTAGAGCATTCGACTGCAGATCGAGAGGTCCCCGGTTCAAACCCGGGTGTCCCCTAGGTAAACTTTTTACAAATAATTCTTTTTATCAGCACTTGAATTCAATACTCATAATCTGTTTGTTCTATTTATAATTTAAAACACGAACTTGTAGTTGCTTGGGGATTGTAGCTCCAATGGCTGCGGTTTGTAGTGTGGGGATATAGCTCAGTGGTAGAGCATTCGACTGCAGATCGAGAGGTCCCCGGTTCAAACCCGGGTGTCCCCTTGGTAAACTTTTTTGTTGCCTTTTGCTTTGAATTTCAATTTTTTTTTGAATAAAAGGAACGGGTGTAGCTTATTTTGAAAGTATGTTGCACAAGAAAATAAATTAATTTGTGTGAATATTGCTTAAGATTAGCCCAACTTTCCTGTGTATTTTTAAAATGGTGCATTGACACATGGCAATCCCTTATAATTATAATTTATTTTGTGTTTATCTACCTTCATCAATTACCGCTCTAATATTGATGAAAGTATTTTGCAGCATTACATCATTAAAATGTACAATGAACAAAAGGTTAAATATTACCACACAACAGTATTGAGCGAATTCACAGCAAATTGGCTGAATTAAATGTTTAGGCAGCGAGCGTCCGCATGGGGATATAGCTCAGTGGTAGAGCATTCGACTGCAGATCGAGAGGTCCCCGGTTCAAACCCGGGTGTCCCCTGATTTTTTTTTATTTTATTTTCAACCATAAACTGATTTTTGTTTAATAAGACAATCTTTTGCCTTAATTAAATAATATATTTTGATCAATTTCAGCAATAATTAGCTGCACATTAATTATATCAGCATGCATTTATCTGAATTTAAAGTGGTTTTTGTTGTCATTGTTGTTCAAGCAATTAAAAAACTGTTTCGCATGTTCCGAAACATGTTTTCTAGATTTATCAAGCCACATGGTACATAATGCAATGTCATTTAGGAAACATGTTGCTCTTGCTGTTTCATGATAATGGGACAGATAAAGGAAATCAAAGCGCAAACGCAACAACAATAGGCTGATTATCAACTTCCGCCTCGGCTGGTCTTTCTGTCAAGTTTGAGAAGGAAACTTCCACACACACATAAACAGAATGCTGTGTTAAAATTTTAGCAGCTGTTCTTGGCTAAATTAGCGCCGCTTACATAAGTGGGGATATAGCTCAGTGGTAGAGCATTCGACTGCAGATCGAGAGGTCCCCGGTTCAAACCCGGGTGTCCCCTTGGTAAATCTTTTATATACTATTAATTATAATATTTAATTCTTCTTTTTGTACTTACTCTGTGCGCTGTCTGTGGAGGGCGAGAGCAAAACAATCAGCAGACATATCACAAAGGCGATTCGCAGCAAACGCGGCGGCAACTGTGAAAGAAACAAACATCAACATGTTAATGGCGATTAATCAGAGTTATGTGTACATGATTATTTTGTATAAATATTATAAAATGATTTATGTGGGGGCAGGGCACGTCAAGTTTCAGCAAATTACGTGGCACTTGACAGCAATGGATTTTAATTTGCCGCCGTGAGAAGGTCAGAGCACGATCGTTCGCGGCCCTTCGACTACTCTCCACTCTCCACTCCACTTCACTCTCCACTCACCTCTCCACTCCAGTTTGTTCACACCGAAGTGGCGCCCAAAAAGATTACAAACAAAAGACGCGTTAATTGCGCCAAGCGGCCAGCTCTTGACATTGACCCAGTTAACGAGCCCGAGACGGAGTCGGAGTCGGAGACGGAGTCGGAGATGGAGTTGGATGTGTCCAAACAATGAGCCTCTTCGCTGGACTGACAGTCGCTTGTCTCGACAACTAATTAAAATTATTTAGAGCTCTTTATTATGCATATGTAGTATATTGTATTTTTATTTCGATTGTGTCGCATCTGAAGCAATTTTCGGTGACATCTTCGCATTAGTAATGGCAATGACAATGTCAAATCGAGCGACTCTCTTGACTTTGAATAATATCACTTGTGCGACCTACACTGCCCAAAATCAACCATACGCAATAGCTTAACAATTTCGTATTGCACGGACAATTGCAAAAGCGAATTACAAGTAGGTCTATCATGATGATAATTTCTATCAGCTTGTTGGGGTTTTTTTTAGGCATATATTTGTATGCCGCAAGACTTGTTGACTTGTTAAAGAAAAAGCTAGAAAACGCAATTATTTTTTACTATTTGTTAAGCATTTAAATAAATTGTTTTGGAAGTTATTTATAGCAAATTCCGTTTATATTATTTATTATTATGCCTTGACAGAAGATAAGATTGCAGAGATATTAACATTCTGTCAGGAACAAGGTTTTTGGAAAATATCTTATTAATATATTTTTTTTAAATATATATTTTTAAAATTGTTATTAACATTAACAAGCAAATATAATGGTTAAATATTATATTCCAAAAAAAAGTATATCAAGCGTCGGCACACAAAGCAAGAAGTTTTTAGGGTTTGAACCCTCACGCAGGTTCTAATAAATAATGTTTTGTATGGAAGTACTAAGGAATCTTTTTGTGTACTTTCCGTTAACTTCAAACATTTCTGTGATACTTTCTGCATTTAATATTGTTTTTTTTTACTTCAATAAGCATAAAGTTTGCTACTCAATTTGAACCAGCGACCTCTTGCTTGTTGGTCCTGCTCAAAGTTGCAGAAGCCATTCTTTGGCCAGGTTTTTAAACCTTTGCACTGACATATTAATCTACCTGAGTACGTCTTTAACTTTTTCTCTAAGCTGTTTTCTCTGCATTAGCTTGGCTTATGATATCATAATTTAACATTTATCTAACTTCTTCAGCGATTACCTGTCAACCGAAGCTGCTTGGTATGCCATTGGCCGTCTGTCATTAAGAACACGTTACACAACTGTTGACTGTTGGCTGTTGGCTGCCTTTCACCGACAGTTAGAAAGAATTGGCCAAAATTGGCACAAAACGTGCGTCGCTTGTTAAAAGCGCAAATAACAGTTAGAGGCGGACGAACAGACGGACGGACGAACGGACGCCCATTGGCCAAAAGGGGGTCGCATCAAGGTCGCGGCAAATACACATAATTTATGATCTAGCCCCGGCCAAAAGCGCTGCGACGAGCCCATAAATCTGAGAGCTAATAAAATTCTTTGGCAGCATCTGAGATGCAGTTAAAAGTGAAACTGGTTTAGACAACCCTCCCGCAACTTATCTAAAATCAGCTCTCTTCGGGCAATTCATTTAAATGTTTTAGCCTCGTCTAAATTAATGCATAAATTAAATTATAAATTTAAAATGCGCAAGCCGAAGATGAGATACCCTTGCAAACTCTCAGAGATATCAGGAGAATTGATGAAGAGATTTACAAGATTATAAAGTATTTTATGTTCCCCCAACTTATCTAAAATCAGCAAAACTCTTTTCGGTCAAGTTATTTAAATGTTTTAGCATCCGATTGGCCAGCTAAATTAATGAAAGAACAGCAAGCCGAAGATAAGATACCCTTGCGAGCTCGCAGAGTTATCAGGAGAATTGCAAAAGAGATTTATTTGATGTAATTACCCATTAAATGACCAAATTGTTATACCCTCTAAAAGGGTATATAAGCAAAGAGTTCGCACCAAAATAACATCTGTCGGCTCACACAAAAAAGGTTCCTTATTGCGTGAACCGGCATGGGAAGCTGGGAAGCTCGGGGGAGCTGGGGGGAGCTGGGGGGGACTGGATCAACTGGTTTTGTGCGCCATCTGAGTTGAGGTGAAAACATGTCTAAATGCCTTTCATTTTCTTCTCCACGAAAGCGAAATGGCCAGAATCGACGCTGCGCTCCATCAAGAGCTGCCAGTTTTCGATTTTTCGATTTTTAGCAAATCATCTTTTCGAAAAACAAAACGAAAAAAAAGGAAAATCGCGTCCAAATCTCGGCTCCGATTGCAGAATGTTGCCGTTGTTGCCGTTGTTGCACGCGGCGTTGGCTTACGTAAAACTATTGTTGTCCATTTCGGGCAATTGTAGCCAAGTATCATTAGCGACAGAGAGAGAGAGAGAGAGAGAGAGACTCCAGCGGCTCCGCTGGAGCACAGCCAAGTCGTGGTCCGTGGATTTGCGCCAAGCATTTTGTGGGTT